TTACGAGAATTGGTAACTCTTGATCCTTCTTAAACAATGCATTGAGAGACTCCGCGTTATTCGACGTCATCATATTGTATCGATGTCCTGGAAAGTATGACCACGCCCAATGTTTGATCACCATGTTCATCAGATACTCCAACGCTGGTAATGATTTACTTCCCATCTCAAACATGAACTTATTACACTCTTAAGCACTGTAAGCTTTGGCTGCTCTCCTGAATAATGAAACGATGCATTTGCCCCGATACCTAGTTTTCAAATTACCTTGTATATGGTACATGCAATACCCGTGATGTGCCTCTGGAAAAACTTCAGTGATACCGTTTATTATAGACTGTCCCCGATCGATTACAAAGGTAAGGTCTTCGACTTCCCCGATCACTTCCCTCAGTTTCGAAAAGAACCAACGCATGGACAGATCATTCTCGCTGTCGACTATGCCGAATGCAATTGGGTAAATTTGGATGTCGGCGTCTTGACATGTAGCAATAATTAATTTGCCATGATATTTAGCTTTCAGAGTTGTACCATCAACTAGAATTACGGGTCGCATTGTATTTTAAAAACCCCGAATACATTATCCGAGAGCCATGAAGAAATACTTAAAACAATTATTGCTCCCCGTCTCAATAAAAAATGTCGTGCCAGGATTAGTTTTCCCCATGTTATGGCAATACTTGGCCAATTTAGCATAGCTCTCCTCAGCCGATCCCATTAAATCCTCCAACGCACATTCTTTGGCCTTCCAGGCTTTCTGGTAGCTCATGACCACTTCATACTCTTGACGGACGTCGTTAATGATGTCCGAAGGTCCATAGATCATCCATAGATCCTGATACTTGTGCATTATCCGTCGACCAATAAATCATGCTCGAGCTTGCCTGTGATCGTTTCGAAGAATTCCCACTTCGCAAGTATGTTCTCGTGAATACTTGCGAATTACGAAGCACTCATTCGTGTCCATCTTAGTTGCTCTCAAGCGCCAATTGCAATTGCCTTCGACGTAGGCAAATGTCAATAATGACTTGTTTGATTTCTTTACCTTGAACTCAATGTTATATTTTAATACCAGCCGGTGCACAGCTTCCTACAAATCTTTCTTGGTTTCAAACAGTTGCTCGACATACAAGTTCTCATAATCGGGAACCACACGGGAAGAATTGGAGGACGGTCCACTTGTTCCAACCTGTGAGCTCCCACCCGGCTAATGTCTCTGTCGGGATAAAGCAATCAAATTCTCATTAGTAACGTCGTTTATATTTTCATTGTCTTCAACCGTCGATAGAATTCTGCGCGTAATAGCGACATCACGATCAGAAGCAACTGTCTTAGGAATAACCACATCATCCGCAAGAACTATCTCCACTGTCTCCCAAAAACCTCGATCATTGTTATCCACCCTATCTGAATTTTCACGTTCACCTTCGATAACATCCTTCGTAATTAAAGTCATACCAAGAACAGTCGGAGTCCGATACATTTTATTCAATTCTAATAGATAATTCAATTCACCATCATTAATAACGAATATAGGTGGCATCGGAATGGATGAATCCCCATGACCGTTGAATAGTTATCTCAATTGCATATTGTATTGGTCTTCAACCGTCGATAGAATTCTGCGCGTAATAGCGACATCACGATCAGAAGCAACTGTCTTAGGAATAACCACATCATCCGCAGGAACTATCTCCACTGTCTCCCAAAAACCTCGATCATTGTTATCCACCCTATCTGAATTTTCACGTTCACCTTCGATAACATCCTTCGTAATTAAAGTCATACCAAGAACAGTCGGAGTCCGATGCATTTTATTCAATTCTAATAGATAATTCAATTCACCATCATTAATAACGAATATCGGTGGCATCGGAATGGATGAATCCCCATGACCGTTGAATAGATATCTCAATTGGATATTGTATTGGGATTGATCGACATTCAGCTTATTTTGCAAATCGTGGTACATTTCTAAATATGGTATACTCTCTGTTATGGGAATTGCAATACAACCACGTATGTCACTCGTCCATCTCCATTCCCACCGATTATTTTCATTCAATTTGAAATCACCGAAATAACAGACGGGGATTATCATATCTGCATGAGGAAATGGATTTAATCAACTTCATTTATTAATTATAAGAAAAAATAATGCATTGCCAACAAAAATCAGTGCCAACAGTCGGCTGTCAACAGACAGTCGGCTGTTAAACAGCCAACAGTCACGTGACTGTTTGGCTGTTAAACAGGCCAAACAGCCGACTGCTTTTCTGTTTTCCGCATTACGTAGAAGAAAAAAATTAAAGATTGTTCAAAAAAAATTTTCATACATTTGATCTGTTAAAAAAAATTATTACTAACTATTACTCTGTCGAAATAAATTTTCTCTATTCAAATGTATACTAATTTACTGAAAAAGAAATTAAACATGCGTAAATATACTTACCGATTTGAAGAAATTGATATGAAAAAAATTTTCGGCTTCAGCGTCTGAACGTTTTTTGAGATGTTGAGATTCAAGCAGATGAAAGATGAGAGTTTTTTTTGTCTTAGAAGCTCGTTTTGAAGTTTTATAAGTGAGGAAGTGTTTGGTTTTCAATTATTAACTAAAAGGGTAGTAAAGTTTTTTCAACAATACATTGTTTTATAATTGTATAACATATTTAAGGACATCCTTGTCTTTTAACATTCAAGAGTCCAATGTGATAATATTCATGATTTTCAAAGTCAAAGTGGAATTTCCTCCCTTTGACTGGGTCAAACTTAAAAGTACCTCTTGGGATTGGCACGCAAGAAAGTACAAATGTCCAGATAATTTTAATATATTTTTTAATAGTCTCTTGTATTATTTTGAGGGTTAATTTTACCTAAAAATTACAAAAAGGTCACCCAAAATTTTCAGATTTTTGGGCGAGATTTGCGGCAATTTTCCAGCAACTTCCAACCACCACGACTGTCGGATTTGAATACCGTTGGAAAGCCAACAATGTCCTCTTCAATTACTACTCAAAATCTCCTCATAATTCCAAAGGATTCGGCCGGTATAAGTCCACAAAGTCAGCTCCCTGATTTGGGCAAATTTTTCAAATTTCGGGTAGCTGAATTTGTGGGCTTATCCCGACCAAATCCTTTGGAGTTATGGGGAGATTTTGTGTGGTAATTGAAAATGACATTGTGGGCTTTTCAACGGTATCCAAATCCGACAGTCCTGGTGGTTGGAAGTTGCTAGAAAATTGTCGCAAACCTCTCCTAAAAATTTGAAAAATCTAAGCAAATTTTCAGATTTCGGGGAGCGGAATTTGTGGGCTTATTCTGGTCGAATCTTTTGGAGTTATGAAGAGATTTTGAGTGGTAATTGAAGAGAACATTGTGGGCTTTCCAACGATATTCAAATCCGGTAGTCTTGGTGGTCGGAAGTTGCCAGAAAATTGCCGCAAACCTTACCCAAAATCTGAAAATTTTGGGTTGTTTGTTTCTGTAAGTTTGTAAACTTCAGTGACCGTTTTGTAATTTTCAGGCAAGTTCAGTGATCGTTTGTGAAATTAATGTTATTTTGATTAGGATTTGGCTGTTTGTACATAAAAAAAATACATAATGGATTACATAATATGATGTGGTGGGAAAAGATTTGATGAAAAAATTGATTGAGTTTTAAACTAATAAATGGTAGAGTGTCATGTGGAATTATGTAATCCATTATGTAAATCTTTATGTGCATATAGTGTTGGAGACAACTTATAAAAAATCAAATTTTTGGGCGAGATTTGCGGCAATTTTCCAGCAACTTCCAACCACCACGACTGTCGGATTTGAATACCGTTGGAAAGCCGACAATGTCCTCTTCAATTACTACTCAAAATCTCCTCATAATTCCAAAGGATTCGGCCGGTATAAGTCCACAAAGTCAGCTCCCTGATTTGGGCAAATTTTTCAAATTTCGGGTAGCCGGTATAAGGGTTGATTTTTGATATATTTGTTTGACCAGTTTTAACCCGCAAGAGCGTGATCAAAACACAATTTATATGAATGAAAATTTGGACAAAGTTTCGGTATAAAGATTACGGAAAATAAAGATTAAGAAGGAGTAGAAATAGAAAATAATCCAAGGCGAGACGTTATCTCTTTCCTTAAGACAAATTGCCCCGCTACGGTGCCCACGGTGAATGGCACTTTTTTCCCAAGATACAATGGATTCACAACTTGTGGTAGCAGCACT